CTGACTAAGGGAATAATAGTTTTGGCATGCCTAGAAGATTTGATTTGGGTGAAAGGAAGAAGATGAGGGTATGTTTTTTTCGTGTAATTTTTTTTTAATCCTAGACTCATTTTTTTTAAATCCCATGGTATTCTAAAATTAATTTTAAAACTTATTCCCATTCAATCCCACTCCTAGTTTCAATTTCATTTCAATCATTTAAAATGTGATCCCCAATACCAAATAGGGCCTTAGCTTGATGGTCCTTGTGGTGAAACTGTTGGCACCAAAGAACCTAATGCCTCTTTGACTCACAAGCATATTTCTCTTCTAAACCTATTTATTGGTGTCATTTTCATTCCTTAGCGTATATACATTAGGAGCTCTTCTCATGTGAGCAATGTAAGATTTTTTATTTTGATACACACACAATAACGACAATAAAAACTAGTATTAACCGACTAAGTAAATTTACCAATGAAATTACTCATTTTTAGGGGAAGTGATTATTAAATTAGGGAGTGGCTGAAGCAGCTGCTAAAATTAAAGTATTTCCTACATTTCACTTCTAAAAATTTAAACCATCATGGTAAACATATGTGGCAAGATTACATAAAGGATCTTCAATAGATATAATTTCTGTTGACAAAAAAAAAAAACTACTAAACAATAAGAGGAATGGTGAAAAGCAAAAATGACCAGAAATCATACACCTATCACACCTAAAAATGCGAGGTGAACAGCGCGCAAGAGCGAAGGTTCTGATCTTCGGAGTGAGAACCAGCTAAAACGGGAGTTGCCACCAAAATTTTGAGAAAAATCTTGGGAAACCAATTAAAGAAGAATAAGGATGGTCTACGAAAATAGAAAATAGGTTCGGGAGTTGATTGAATGTGAGAAAGATGTTAGGCATCCCATAATACCCGTTTGTGAGAATAGTTATCTGAAGTTTATTGTGCTAAATTAATATGGCTTAGCAATTATTTTAATTATCCCTTTCTTATTCACGTGTTTTAAAAAATGATAATAATAACATGAAAAATATTTATTTATTTTCGAGAGAGGACTTGACTCAAAATCAAACTCTGAGGCCTAGGTATCCTGTGATAGGGATCAAAGTCCACGTAGTTTGGAATTAAAAATTATTGGTAAAAATATTTTTTGAAGAGAAATTAATTAAAAATAATTCATCATTTTGCAGATAAAACAATTTCTAAAATTTTGATATGTGTATTTTAAATTACAAAAAATAATTTAATTTTAATTATTTTCTCAATTTTTGAATTTTTGAAATAAAGAAAAGAAAAGGGTTTAAAATTAATTTTTTCATATTTTATGATTAGGAATTTAACTGCTATACTTGCAGAACCTTATTGATTCATATGGTAATACAATTGTTCTAAATATCTACAAAAATTTTAAAATTTCACGTGATAAAAGAATTTAGTAACTTAATTTATTTATTTATATTCTTATGTATATTTTTAAGTATCAATAATAATTTTTTAAGCATGTATTTACATATACACTTTTTCTTAAAAAAATTAATTATCATACCTACAAAGTTTTATTAACTTATACTGTAATATGATTATCCTAAATATCTGTGAAGATTTCAAAATCTCACATGATAAAAGAGTAAATAATATACACTTAAGCACATTTTTAATTTAATTGATTTAATATAATATATATATATATATATATATTTTAAAAACGTAGTTGTTTTATCAGCAAAGTCTTATTGATTCATACGATAATACGATTATCTTAGAAGTCTACGAAGATTCAAAAATCTTACATGACTAAAAGATATAATTAGTAAATATGATTACAATTTAAATATATTAATTTGATTAATTAATTTTTCTAAATTGTGTATTATATCATTATTTATAAAAATTATTTATTTATTATATAAATTGAGAATCACTATATTTGTGAGGATTTATTATCCCATACCATGGTGTGATTAATTTAAGTCTCTACGAAAATTCTTAAAATCTTACATGGGACTTAAATAAATTATTAATTTAAATTATAAAAAGAGAGTTAATTTTAATGATGAGCTTTTAAAACCCATATTAACATATGAGTTTTACTCTCATATCTGTAAAATCTTATTGATTTACACAATACGAGATTATTCTAAATATCTGTAGAGATTCAAAGTCTCATACAATAAAAGGATTAAATAATATTTACTTTAGATATATTTTAATGTGTAATTATATAACACATATTTTTAAATATAGAAATCTTAATCATTATACCTGCGAAACCTTATTGACTCACATGATAGTATGATTATTTTAAAGATCTATGGAGTTTTAAAAATCTCACGTGACCAAAAGATCTAATTAAAAAATATAATTTAAATTTAAATTTATTAATTAATATTATAAACACGTTTATTATTTTATTTACAAAAATTTGTTTATTTATTTACCATATAAATTAAGAATCACAATATCTGTGAGGATATATTATCTTACATGATGATGTAATTAATATAAGTTTCTATAAAGGTTTTTGAAATCTCACATGAGACTTAAATATTTATTATAAAAAGAGAATTAATTTTAATAATAGGCTTTTGGAAGCTATATAAATACATACAAGATTGATCCTCATACTTGCGTAATCTTATTGATTTACACAGTATGAGATCATTTTAAATTTAAATGCTTGCGGAGACTCTTGAAATCTCACACTATAAATAAACCATAAATATATATGCATCTCTCTCTCTTTTTCTTCTCTTTTTATATTTTAGCCTCTTATAAGGAAATCATGACAACATAAGGAAATAGAAAGCACCATGAGGTATATGTATGTTATAAGCCACAATTACCAGTACGTATAATTAAACTACCATAAGTGAATAAAGATTAATATAAGGATCAAATCATGCCACCACATGTTGTATTTTTTCTAAAACATAGTAATTAAAAAGATTGAAAGGAAATTTGAGAATCAACCATGTAAAACTAAACGTACCTAGATTAAACACGTTGGATATCTTATAACATAAACCATCACAAGTCCATTTTACAAACACAAACATTACAAGATGAAGAACTTGTCAAATTTTCAAAATTAGTAGGCAAGCTTAGTGATTAATTCTCAAGTGTCAAGAATCTCAAAACTTAAATAGAAGTATACCTTTAAACCATTAAGAGATGCAAGATTACATAGGATATTTTATACATAGCTAGTCAAGGACTCATGCAAACTTATGCCCACCATAAAATCTTGGAAAGAAAAGAAAAAGGAGAACAATGTTATTCAAGCCATAATCTTTACCTTTTAACAGTTATCTCCACTTAGCTTTTCTTTTTTTCTTCATTCTAATGTGCTCCCTTTCATGGTTCAGTCTTTCCTCCCGTGTCTACCAGTCTTTGCCTCAATCGTGTTCATGATACTTCTCATTTTCGAATTCGGATCCTCTCTAAAGATCAACACTGAATCTCTCTCGGTCTCTCTCCTTCTCGGTCTCCTTCTTTTTCTAACCTCCAGAAATTTCTGCTGGTGCTCTCTTACTCTTAGTCTCTCTCATCCGTTTTTCCCTTAATGTGCTCAACTCCCTCTTCTCCCATCTATCATAGTCCGACTGTGACCAAGAGAGAGAGATGAGAGTTTTGTGTGACGATGAACAAACTCGAGCTAAGAAGAAATGAGGCAAATGAACTCATGTGGCTATGGTAAATTCTCCACCTGAACTCGTGCGACTGAGGGAAGAAGAAGATGATGATCTTGTTCAGTCCAAAAACCCACGTGTGCATGCATGCTACTGTTTTTGTGTTTTCTTCTTTGCTATAAATGTGCCATCATTTCCTTCGTTCCTTTGCTTGTGTTTTTTGAATGCTGATACATATCTGAACACCTTCACATCAGAGTACTCGATCACTCTCCTCTTGCTCTCTTGGCTCCAACCTCTTTCGGATCTCTCTACTTTTTTTTCAAAAATCTCCTCCTTCTCTTAGACTCTCGGTCTTCTCCCCCCACAGATCTTTGCGTGAGAGATTCCTCTATTGTTAAAGCTCGGGATCTTCCTCTTGCCGTGCCTGTTCAAACTTCCCTCTCTCAATCTCTCCCTCTTGATGACTCTCCCTCTGTTTTTCGTTTCCAAATCTCCGCCCCCCAGAACCCAGCTCTCTCGTCCTTGGTCCCCTCGTCTGTTCAGTCGAAGTAAAAAAATACCTCCTCCTCTTCTTGCCGTGCACGCCTCTTCTATCTGCCTGCGTCGAAAGTGGCTATGTGTGCATCTGCTCTGCTCCTCTTAGTGGCACGCGAGCTTGCTCCTTGTATTCGTCTCTCCTCTCTGCCTTCTCTTTTTGACTTTGCTATGACATGCGTTTGCATGGCTGTGTTTCTATGTGTTTTTCGTGTGTGTTTGCGTCTTTTGCGAGTCTGATCTCCCTGCGTTTTCTTTGTGCATGCGTGGCTGTGTTTCTGCTCAGCCTTTTTGCTTCTTCGTGTGGGCAATCATCTGCCTTCTCTCTCTCTCTCTCTCTCTTTTTCTGCCTGCTATGAGAGTGTTGCCTTTCTGTCGTGTTAGTGTGCTTCGTGTCTGCTGAAAGCAAATAAAAGAGATAAAAAGGGTGAGTGAAACGCTGTAGATTGTAGCGTTTCACTCTCCCTTTTATTTATTATTTTTTAATGCTTTTGCTTCTTGTTTTTTGGTTAATCTTATTTTTGAAATATAATTAAAAGAGTTAACTCTTAAAAGTTAATTCTCAATATTTTTAAATGATTTGAATAATTTGGGAGAGATTTTTAAAGATTTAAGCAGGATTATATTTTTTTTAATTTTGTTAGATTATAATTTTTTAAAACATAATCCTTAAAAGATCCTAACTAATAAAAGATTATCTAGGTTAAAATAAAATTAAATCTATTAATAAAATTTAAAAAGGATTAAATTTAATTTTTGAATTTTTATAATTTTTTTGATTGAATTTATTATTTTTTTATTAAATTTAAAAATATCTGAATAAAATACAGTGTTCACACCACCATAAAAATAAATAATAATAATAACGAAATGCAAACATAAATACATATTGAAAGGGTTTTTGACTACCCATTAGCATCCATTGTGCATAGAACTTATCAGGCATTATCGACCTTCCTGATAGGTATTCTGGGTTGATAGAATTCCTTCAGGTTTACTAGAAGAAGAAGCTGTGCTTGAAATGCCTCTGTCTCTACTCATAAAAAAGGTTGGTTGTTTTGGAGTTGGGAGACTAGCAGTCTCGCTTTCAAGCATTATCAGTACCTGTGACATTGTGGGCCTGTCTCCTGGTTCATCTTGCACACATAGAAGACTAACTTGCGCGCACTTGATGAATTGACTTACATTGCAGCTTTCTCCCAAAGATTGGTCCATTAAATCCAATAGCTTATTCTCTGTCCATAACTTCCATGCCTACATATTCATTCACATAATTAGCGAATCCCCTCCATGCACATAAGAGCAATAGGCCAAGAGAGGAATAAGATGAAACGTACATAACCCAATAGGCTGGGAACTTGTTTGGATTGAAAGAATCCTGTGTTTTTCTTTCCGGTGATAATTTCAAGTACCACCACGCCAAAGCTAAAGATATCTGATTTGATTGAAAATAATCCATCCAGTGCATATTCTGGAGCCATATAACCACTATATAAAGGGAACAAAAATTAGAAAATTGTAACTCTCTTGTAGAGGAAGTTAAGGACTAATTTCACAGTGATCAAACAAATGTGTCAAGCTTACTAAGTTCCAACTATTCTTTCAGTGTTGGCCTCAATTTCTTTGCTTCCAAATATTCTTGCTAAACCAAAGTCTGAAATTTTTGGTTGCATCTCTTCATCTAGAAGAATATTGCTGGTTTTTAAATCTCTATGAATCACTCTCAATCTAGAATCTTGATGAAGATATAGCATTCCTCGAACAACTCCTAAAATTATGTCAAACCGCATCTGCCAATCCAAAATCACACTTTGTGTAGGATCTGTGTCAAACATTTTCATTTTTCAAAGTTCATCAACCCCATGTGAAGCATTGGAAGAGGTATTATAATATAAAAAAAGTATTGGAAGTATTAAAAGAATTTGGGTCCGATATTGCACCAGGGAGATGACAATTCTAGTGCTCAACATAGGAGATGAGAATCATGCTTATCTTTATCATGTCATGTCCATGTTTGGGTTTAATTTTTATTTTCATGATAAAATCATTATTATTTTTGTTAACTGTTATTTTTCTTTTAAATTTTGTTTCTTTGAAAATAAAAAAAACCAAAATTTATGGAAAAAAATACAATTTGAGCCACTTAAATCAATTTAAAGATGAATATAATATTTTATCCCTCATTAAATGAACAACAAAACCAATCAACAATTAAAAATTAATGCATTTAAAACTGACCGAACAAGAATGCATCCAAACTCTTGTTTGGCATGTATTCATAGAGTAAGATCTTTTCATCCCCAGTTATGCAATAACCCCGCAATCTGACAAGATTCCGATGCTGTAGTTTGGATATCAAAACAACCTCATTCTTGAATTCCTTTAAACCTTGTGATGAAACATTTGAAAGCCTCTTTACTGCTATATGATGTTCGCCTGGTAGGATACCCTATAGAAAAGAAAGAGCACATCCATAATCCATCGCCCAAAATTAAATCGTCAAGTAAGATGAGTCAATTACTCAACTACCTTGTAAACAGGGCCATAACCTCCTCGTCCAAGCTTGTTTGCATCTGAAAAATTATCAGTAGCAGCTAGTATGGTTTCAAAATCATAGTATGGCACCTCTATGCCTTCGTTGTCATCTTCTTCTAGTTCTTGCAAGTCTATCAAATCCTTCACCTGTCTTTCGCTGTCATACATGCGGCCTCGAACTCTCTGAACTCTTCCCATGTCTGAGTAATCAGAAGAGAAATGTAAAATAGTATAATTTCTGTTGCTTGAAGAAAAACAGTAAGCAAGCAATTCATAATTCATAATAACCTAAACTAGTACCTTTCTTATGGGCTATTTTGCTTTTCCATATATAAGCAGCAACAACAATGCATGCCACGAAAGCCGCGCTTGAAAGAGTTACTACAAGGATTAATTTAGTGAGAGGGTTTTTGCTTCCAGACGACCCTAGTGCCCCGGGAAGGACATCTACAAAAGGAAAATTGATCTTGATCGAAGCATTGAAAAAAAAAAAAAGAAGAAGAAGAAGAATCAGAACTAGAGAAGATGCCAGAGGTACGTGATATAAAAGGCCAACTACCTCTGACTATGCAAGTTAAATTTGAGTTGTTCCAGTAGTAGTTTGCATCACAAAGGCACCTTCGTTTTCCATCTCTTGAATTGTTGTTGCAGGTTGAATGTGGCCAATCGTTGCAGTCTGTGGAGTTATGACAGAGAGGTTCTAATGGTGGTAGCCAACTAACCTCTATTTCATCTTCAGCAGAGCACCAGTCGGTTACATTAAATGGTAAGTCAACCTTAACTTGTTGTCTTTGATCTTGGTTATCACAGAAGTTGATGGACTCATTATTGTTAGTTTGGATTCGCAACTTCCGATTATCTGGGTCTATTTTGGATACCCTCAAAAACCCAACTCCAGACAGATTAAAGCTAACCTGGCCTGTTTTTGTTGTGTTGATGCAATTTAACTTGAAGTACGAGGGATCTCCACAATCTGGTCCCGTGCTTAGTGGATATGGAATTATTGTTGTGCCACAAGGTTTACAGGTTTTGGCAGTTAATGCTGCAAAAGTTACAATTGACGAGAAATCAATTTCACTTTTTTGGTGTTCGTAAATCAAGAATCTCCCGGAAACAAGAAAGGAAAAGGAGGGCAGAAATTGAAACACACGGTAACTTCCTGTTTCGAGCTTCAGTAATGAAAGTAGGCATGGAACGTACCACAAAAACTCTATTTTAACAATAAAAAAAAAAAAATCTTCAGGCCAAAAAAATTGAACAAATAAAATCTGACCTATATCTGAAATCAGTAAGGGGATAGAAAGAGAAATGCCATTTTGAGGGGAATCCTCATTGAGAGCAAGTAAATCCTGAGTCCAGATAAAGCAAGCCGGATTCCGGTCCGAAATTCTAACGGTAAACGAATAAGCCTGGCATTGATTAGAGCAGTTAAGACATTGAGCTTGGCATTCTGCTTCATTTTTTGCTTGGAGGAACACTTGTTTGCCCGAGCCTCCCACTTCAACCATCGTCAAGTTTAAGAATGTAATGTCTTCTCTTCTTCTTCCACACCATGTTGATTTTCTGAAACACCCATTATCCTGTTCTCCGGAGGAATACCTAGCTGGCAAGGAATCGAATCCAGGCAAACACTTACAGACAGGGCGATTCTGATCATTGCAGCTTCTGAAACTCCCACAGTAATTATGTATCCTGCACTTCGTTTCTGGTTTACTAAACCTCGTTGACCATTCGCCTACGTCAGTATCATTGATGTACCGCTGAAATTCGATCTTCCCTGTGTAATTCATGACTAGCCTTTCAAGCTTATATACCGGGTTTTTAGAATTCATGACTAGCCTTTCACAATCATATACCGGGTTTGTAGAATTCAGAACTGGTAACGTCTTGCTATTTTTCAACTTATGTTGCCTCGTGACGTTACATGCCGGGCTTCTGGTGACGTTTGTCAAGAGGTTTGGCATTGTCGCAGGTATTTCGTCTGAAGATTGCCAGTGAAGTCGGACTTGGTCTTTCAAAATTCTATAGCTGTTGTCCCCAGTTTGAGCAAGCTGAAAAGTGTAGTTCCCCGGGGCTGGGTCGTCAGAGCTTCTCCAAGAAGTCAGGTTCATGTTTTTATCCATTTTCATGGAAGGAAGAAATGTATCAGTTGGATGTTCGAAGCTCTGCCAGAGATTATTCATTCTGACCTCGTCATCTGTGAGTACCAAGTTTCCTGAATCCATGAGCTTCACTGTACGGTCTAAGGATGAAGATCCCTCGAGCCCGGAAGACCAGTAGTCTTTTCCATTGGAGTCTGACACTCGGAGGTTTCCATCGTCGGCGATTTGAAAAGATGCCGTGGAGTCTGGAACAGGATTGTCTCTGTTTGCAACCCATACCACCGTTCGGGGCTGTACTTGTGACTCGTTGTACCATATTCCTAAGTATTTTGTTGAACCTTGTCGAGGGGAAAAGAAACCCAGTTCAAATTTGCCACCATTTGAAACCAAGGTTTCATTTGCAGTTATCTTTTCGCCAGGATTTAACGTGTCTGAAGCCACATGGGGTTGACAAAAACACAGCAACCACCCCGTGAAGGAGAAGAGAGCAATTGAAACGGCTCTCATATTACTTGGCGATGAATGTCATTGCTATCCTTTTCTTCGTTTACTTTTGGGGTGTATATTGCAGAAAATGAAAGATTGAATCCGGTGGAAACAGGGAAGGTCAACAGTGATCATTGCGGCCGTCTTTTTCTTTTCTTTTCTTTTTCTTTTTCTTTTTCTTTTTGGTTGGGACCAGGAGACCTTATGGTCACACCTGATGTGATGCCTCCCCATCTAACTCTAGGACACATGCTCCCTTCTGTTCTTATTTTAATCGGGCATATTAAACACGATAGTTTTTCTTATATCATTAAAAAATGATATATGTATTTTTTATTTTTATATTTTAATACTAATATAATTATATTAAATATTTTCATCTTAATAAAAATTAAATTAAAAATAATTTAAATATCATAAATTTTCCTATATCTAAATAAAAATAGTAATGTATAACTTTAAATTCCTACACTTAAATTTTATTGTAAATAAATGTTACTCATTTCATAAAATATAAAACATTTTTAACTAGATCTCACCCCTAATAAAATAATTACATACTTTTCAACTAACTTTATATTTTACATATTTATCTCTATTAAATATTTTATAATAAATAAAAATTCATCATTAATGGGAACATTTTTACAAAAAAAAGCAATAATTACACTTCGAAAGACTAAAAATGTCTTACATTTTTTAATATTTAATTTTTTTAAAAATGTCTTACATTTTTTTAACTGAGGTAGTATGTATTGTTTATTTTTAACTTTTAATAATAATATAATTATATTAAATATTTTCATGTTAATACAAAAAATAAAATTAAAAAATAATTTAAATATTATAAATTGTCCTATATTTGGATAAAAAATAGAAAACACATGACCTTATAGGTCTAAAACACCAACAAAAAATTATAAAAATTGAAACATTGAAAATAAAAAGTATAAGAATAGACCCATTTTTAGATAGAGCTCATAAGTTAGATCAAGCTTAACAAGCCTGCCCGAACTCATTTGAAAAATTTAAAGCTAAATTTGAAAAAATAATAATTTTTTAATACTCATGTTATTCAAGCTGCCTGAATAAGCTCAAGAAAAATTTGGGTCAAGCCTAATCGGGTTAAGCTTGGCTTGAATACCCAAATAAAAAATAAAACTTTCAAAATATATAAAATATAATAAATATTGATTAATTTTTTAAATTTTATTTCATTTTATATTAGAGTATCACATATTTGAGTGCATTATTATAGTTATTTTTAAAAAATAAAAATATTTATATTTTTATATTTTCATTATTTTTAATCAATAAAATATTTTAAAATAATATTTAAAATATATTTGAATATTAATTTTTATATTTTAAGACCCATTTTTTAAAAAACAATTGAATCCCATAAATCATTTGTGTATCTAAAAATATTTTATATTTTTTATAAAATAAGATAATTAATTCAGAACTAAAAATAATTAAAAATAATTTTAAAAATAAAATTCAAGCAATTACTGGTCTATTATTAATAAACATAATAAATATAACAATATTCTTGAATGATTATTTAGTTATCATCCACATCAAACTTAATTAAAAATTAAGAATAAATTAGAGTAAATACTCCTTATATGTAAAAATTAAACAATATAAAAATTTAAAGAAAAATAATTTCAAAAAAATAGTATCTACTCATAATTAAATAATTTTGTTTTATGTAATATAATGATGGCTCTTTTATATTTTTAAAAATAAAACGTACATTTTACCCAAAAATTATTAAAAATTTTAAATTAATTAAATAATAATTTTAAGTTAATCGTCTAACCGTAATTGAATTGAGACATAAAATAATATAATTTAATTAAAATATATAAAATATTTATATATGATTATAATAAGAGAATATTTAAACAACTAAGATATTAATTTAAAGCAAAAAATTCATAAATAAATAAAAAATAATAAAACAAATAGTAACAAACATACTTAATTACAAAGTTAATAAGTTATTATTTTTATTTTATTTTTTAAGGTTAAAATAATATTTTATATTTAATATAATTATTTAAAAATTAAAATTGATTCAAAAAATATAAAAAATATTTTTTAAAAGTTTTTAAGTATTTGAATTAATTTAAATAAGTTTGAAGTTTGAAGGTGTTAAGGCTGAATTTAATTATATAAACTTAAAAAAATATATTTTAATCCCGAATAAATCCAACCGATTCGAATAGGAACGCCGTCCAAATTATTAGCTGCATTCTTGGGTTACTGCCTCACCTGCGGTTGTGTTGAGTCGTTTTTTCAATTAATATTAACAGTACGGTTGTGGTGTCCAGCAATCAAGAAGGAAAGAGGGGTATCTTCATTTTTAACTCGTCCTTTCGCATTAACCCATCCAACGCGATTGCTCATCGCCATAATGAGAGCTCCGTACGGTTTAGATATAACATTTTTTTATTTTTTGAACCAGACATATTAAAAAAAATAGTTTTTCTTACGTCAATTAAAAATTATATGTTTTTTTTATTTTTAACTTTTAATAATAATATAATTATATTAAATATTTTTATTTTAATAAAAATAAAATTACAAAAATAGTTTAAATATTTTTAAAGCCATTAAGCTAATTTTCTCTATTATAAATTATCCTATATTTGGATTAAAAATAGAAAAAAACATAATTTTAGGTTTCTTTACTTTATTTAAATTTTGTTATAGGTCCCTAAGTTTTTTTATTTTATGTTGCAAGTCTTTATATTTTTTTAATATTTCTAGATCTTTTTATAAAATATTTTAGGAACTTAAAATATAAAAATAGAATATAAGAATATGAAATATTGAAAAAAAAAAAAAGGTGTACACACCGATAACAACACATATAAAGTATGAGAAATTTTATTGAAAAAATAAAGTATAAGAAACTAAAGTTTTTTTTTTTTCCTAAAAAATATTGGCCCATTTTCGGGTTATGGCTTCGCAGGTCGGGCGGCTTGCCAATTGCCATGTACATCAGTGCATGTGTTGAGTCATCTTCTTAAACCAACAGTCCGGTTGTGGTGTCCAGCTGGCCCTTTCCTTGTCCTTTCGCATTGACCCATCTTGTACGGTTGCTCATCGAATGAGTCTTCGTACGGTTTAGATATATTTTTTTTTAGATTTTATATCTATTAAAATACAAAATTTATAAATTTTTTTAATAAATAATTTATCATCAATTAAAATTTAATTTAAATTATCCAATTTAATATTAAAATTTTTATAATTTTTATAAATTAACTATTCAGATATATGTTACATAGTTCAAATTTAATGTAAAAAAGTTTTTACAATTGTTCTTTTAATAAATAAAATAATAAAAATTAAAATACATAATCTCTTAACTAGAATTTTTTAAAAAAAATTATAATTTAAAAATTTTAAATTTTGATCATGCAAATTGAAATTTATCTTCGATGCTCATCACCCTGTCAAACACCATGATTCTCATTAGGGTGATAAAATTTGGTCTAAATTTAAAAAATTAATTTTATTTTTATTTATAAAAATTATATTTTTTATAAGAATTAATAACTATCCAAATGTCCTTTGTGGGGTTTATCTCAGATGCTTATCACATGAGCACGATGGTACTCATTAGTAGGGCTGTATAAATATCAAACTAGATCAAGTTGGATGTCAACTTGAAGTTTAATCTGAATGGGGATCAAGCTAAAAAAATTTGTCTGAGAACCAATCCAGTCTTGTTGAACCCATGCTAGATTGGACTTGGTCTACCAAGTTACTAGAACAGGCCGCTAGACCATGATTTTTTTTTTTTTGGTTATAAAGGACCATCACTATTTTTTTATTGATGGGTGATGAATATTTAGTCTTCTTCTAACAAGAGATAAAGAAAATCTTCCTTAAATTATCTTTAGTGTAATATAATAAAATAAAATAAAATATTATATTATATTTTCTCATACCATTCATTTTTTTTCCAAAAACCACACCACTTCATGATGATTCAAAATTCAAATTGAACTTTGAAATTTGATTAGATAATGATATTAGTAAATGTATAATATCCAACTTTGCAATGATCACACATGCACTCACATTGTCATCAAACCTGAATCAACATAACTTAAGAAAGTCAATATATGAACCACACATCCAGCAAAGTATAACCAAATCATAATTCTGAATGATCATATATTCACATTCATAATATTTACATCTCACCATAACTACATAATTCAACCATGATCCACTTACTTAGTCAACAATTCAATGTTGCATTGTCAGGCTTCATAGTCTATCCAAAAAAGTGTCTATCCACATATTCTAGCCAATCACATGATGTAAACAGCTAACCAAAAAATAACTATTAGTCTATCATCTTGTTTCTTCACATAACAAAAAGTAAGTCACGGAGATATGCCTAAAATATATTCAAAATATTTGAAAGCTAACAAATATAAGTGCCATTCAACATCAAATGACGCTCACACAACCATTATTTCTAACATTAGTAACACTACAAAGATATGAAAAATATATAAAATATAAATAATCAATGACATCACATCACAAATAAAAAAATAATTACAACTAAAACATGTATAATAATTCATATAAAATATAAATAGTTAATATTATTATTGCTATACATACTAGTCTTCATCGCACCTCTGTCTCTTGAAAGTTAACAAAACCCTAGAAGTGTAGATGCAAATTCAAAAAGAAATTGTCTAGGAAGTAGCCAATTCTGATCATAGATAAGTATTTTAGTCATCTTTGGTGATAACAAACTCCTATGAGCCCGTTACACGTCCTCTTGTGTTGAATACTGATTCAAAGGCTACTGTAAACACTAGAACAACCATGACATTAGGTACCGTTATAGAAAAAACCTTATATTTGCTAGAATTGGCTCTCCACCATACTAGTATATCAAAATCATCGTCAATAGGGTTGTCATCACCAGAATGGATGAAAGATATTTACCTATTTTTGATTGTGGGTTAGATGAGCTTTTTTCTCTTTGAGATGCCAACCATCTATGACTTGGATCTATACTCTATTGCCCTTGGCCTTCAAACATTGATGATGACC